GTTAAAATACGTAGTTTTTTTAGATATTTTTAAAAATCTACTTCTCAAATAATATTGTAGAGATACTATATATATAGTATATGTTTTTGAATTTGTTAATGTTAAAATAATTTGATGTGTTGAAAAGACTAATATATATAATTTGGTTTAGTAGATATCGATTAACATGTTTGAATTATATTATAAATTTTCAAATATTTCATCATATCGATTGATTCTATATTATAAGTAGATAGTGTATAAATGGTATAATCCGAAAATACAATTTTCGAAATGAAAAAAATGTTCAATGAAATAGTAAATTTTGGGTTCATAGTTTATAGTATGTTTATATTAGAAATTCGTATATGTATCGGTACATATATGAACCAATGGTAAACAATTAGTAAATATATTATTTTTTGGAAATGTAGATAAGTTTATCACGGATTAGTGTTGTTTGGAAAGTAATTGTTTGGAAATTTAGGATAGTGTTAGAAGTTTATTTAATTATGTTTGGGTATAGAGATTATATTATAAAGAGTGTTTGGTTAGTAGGATAGTAGAAGTAATTATTATAGGATTTTATTTATTTTAAAAAAATCTAAGAAAAAATGAGGGAATCACACCTAAGCAAAAATAGCCTCTAATGTTTTTCTTTTAATATATAAAGGAAGGATGTGGTAATTATTGTCAATGTCATTTGATAAGAATTTAATAGAAATTTTAACAAAAACGTGAACAACAAATTCCCAACATTTTAGGTGTCTTTTTGATAGAATTTTAAAAATCTCACAAAGGCTTTTAAAATCTCTTATTTAGAAATAGATTTCAATTCTTTTAAAATGAAAAATTCTATAACACCCCCTAAAATAATGAGAAAAATTATGAGAAATGTTAAAAAAATGCCATAATTTCTAAAAAAACTTTCTAGAAATACTAAAAAAAGGCCATAATTTCCAAAAAACTTTCTAGAAATGCTAAAAAAATGCCATTGTGTTCCCTTGCATAGCTCAAACTAGAGTAAGAATCAACTAGAAATAATTAAAACAACTTAACACATGAAACTAAGTGTTCTCTCACTTGCATAGCTAGCAAAAACATTTGGAAAAAAAAAGTCTTGAGCTTTGCACAATCAAGAAAGCAATGATATGATCAAAGTTGTGTGAAAAAAAACAAAAATTGTATTTTCATTGAAGTTTCTGATTTTTTTCCAGCAGCCAAAGCAAAGCATATATATGCCCTTCTTGAGCCCTTAGAGAGAAAATTAACAAGTGAGGATTAAATTTCCCCAAACTTACAAAGCTCTAATCAAGTTGATATAGCAACTTGAGAACCACTACAATTACATAGTGACCAAATCTCATAGGTAAACAAGCAAAGACCCAGAAAGGAAATGAGGTTAATTTATCATGGTAAGCTCACCAGATCGGGATCGAAGCGTAGACAAGAATCTCTTGGAATCAGGGTCCATTTCTTCTGGAAACGATTCAGCAATTGAAGGACGCCGATTAAGGCCAAAGGGATCGATCCTAAAGATCCATTTATTATCTATCTTAGGGGGTTGATGGACCGGTTCTGTCCGAATACCGGTTCGTCATTTTTTTCCGGTTTTAAAACCCGGTTCGTCGTTTGCTGCTGATTTTTATTTCATATACGAAGAGAAAGGATTTTTTTTTTCTTTTTCATTTGGAGCCCTAAATCAGCAGCGAACCGAAGATCCAACGTCGATTCCTTGTTCCGAACAGAAACTTTCCGTCACCGCCGTAGCTG